GTTCCACCTCAGAAAAGTCAGCACAACCTTGCTGAAATCACTGCAAGTCATAGATGGCGTTAATTAATACAACGTGCAGACGACAGAAAAACATCGAAGCTTTTATGTCAATAAGTGACAGTCAATAAGTGTTGAATATATGGCATATGATATTTATAATAAAATGAGAGATTGAGAAGCTTGCTGCTCTTGGAAAGATTTAGAGACAATTTTACTGAATTCTGTACAAACACTGAACTATTTAAATTTAAAAGCTACTGAAAAAGGTAGAAAGAACTCGTGTGATTTTCTAACAGGAGAAGTCCCTGTTCAACACAGAGCATTGTCATTTGCTCGTTATGGTAGCAACCATTTTCAACAAGAATTATATTTAGTGACATGGTAAAGCTACCTCTTCTGTTTGCTTTCACAGAAACATAGAATGGTTTGGCTTATAAGGGATTTTTAAAGACCATTATAGTCCAAAACCCCTGGAATGAGCAGGGACATCTTCAACTAGATCTTCAACTAGGTTGCTCTAAGGCCAGTCCAACCTGACCTTGAAAGATTTCAGGGATGGGGCATCCACCACCTCTATAGGCAACCTGTGCAAGTGCCTCACCACTCTTTAAAGGCAGTTCCTCAAAAAGCCACAGCCTCCACATGACCCAGTGCTACATGCTACAGCTGCATTTTAACAAAGCATCTAATAATTACTTTGGTAATGATATATTTATGCATTTCGGAAAATCAGCTAAGAGTTCTAAAATTTGGGTTTTTTTCCCCACCCTCAGCAGCATGATGTACCATCAATGCATGGTGTGGCCATGATTCCTCTTCTCTGAAGCATCATGTAAGAACTATGGTAGAATATCGTGCAACACTTCCTGTCACACTCATGTACACAGCTCTGCAAATGACTCTCCTGAGGGACAAAGCAAACTGTTAGAGAGGCAAGCAGCACAGCACTGGTGTCTACCCCCAACCCTCCTCCCCTCCTCTGTTCTGTTTTTATGTTGTTTATCTGATGCACCCTTGATGAGAGCAGTGACTTTAGCAGGAATGTCTGCATTATCTGACACATTTCCTCTGCTTCCAGCACCTGAGGTTGTTGAGTCACATGAAAGGGTTTCCTGTGGAGCACTGGCTTACAGCATGGGGAAATACCTCCCTTTATCATACAGCAGTACATTTGCTCCAAGTCATGAGTGATTCAACAGCTGTATATTTTCCCTGTCAAGTGTGGAATTCCCCCACTACTCTCCTATTCATTGACACCATATTGTTGGAATAAATCCAGTTTCCTGTGTTTAAAGTTTTCCTAGGTGGTGGGTAGGACTCATTGGTTGGTGAGTTTTCCCACGCTTAGCTATTTACATGGCCACTGCTCATTGCTGTTCTCTGTTCAGAGTGGGCAGTGACTCCTCTTGCCATTCTCTGCGGAGCACTGAAGCCTGAAATTCTTCCCTTAGCCCTGCACCCATCCTCAAAAATTACTGATATGGGTTTGACAGCACAGTTTGGTTCCAACAGGATCTGGGAGAGCTTAATGTACTAAGAATACAAAGTTCATTCACTAAGTCATTTCCCAAAAATAATAAACCATTTTCCTATTGTCTGTGCTTGCTTCTTGCTAAGGGGGGGGGGGGGGGGGGAAATGCCCTGAAATCAAATTGCTACTGTTCAATGTTGTCCCAAGAAAAATATGCCTCAGGACATTGCCAGGATTTGTTGAAACTAGACATTGTTACAAAAAGCTACACAATTTCTTTTTCATTTGTTGTACAGAATGCTGATCGTTTAGAGAAGGTAATAATTTATATTTCCTTGTTTCAGCTGACTTTTTTTTTTCTCCAGATGAGTTTTTCTCACAATTAACTGTAATTCCCTAGTAAAATGTTTATACCTTCCTTATATTTATTTTCTGAATGTTAAATTTGAGATGCTGCACCTGGGAAAATATGTAAGTACTTTGCTATATAAAGGTCTGTTTAATTCAAGTGCATAAAATGTGTTTGATCCTCTAAAATGTTGTGTTTAGCACTGAATACAGATTTCAGGTGTAGTCACTGGCTAAAGTAGAAGTCTGCTGGAAACTGAGGACAAAGCTTCCAAAATTAAAAATTAATCAATTCATGTTTTAAGGCACTCAAACACACAAATGATGTGTCTATGTGGGATGAGAGATTATAGTTGTGGCATTTAATTAGGACAGTGAGGTGGGATGACAACAACAATCAGTGCATGCATAGTTTAATAAAACTTGTTTTTTCAATATACATATTTAGATGGACTAAGTTGTGTCTCAAATACTCTAGTAACTACTGGGGATTCCTTGGTATTAGCGGAACTCTGTACCAAAAAAATCCTTGGCCACTTGTGATTCCTTCCAATTCACATCCTAGTTTTACCAAGAAACTCATCTGTGTGGGTCAGAAAGGAACTGTTGCATGGTTTAGCTGTGCCTCTGTATGAATGGAGCGAGCTTTGGAAATTAAAGTACACTTCAGCTTCTCTACCTTATTGCCACAAAATGTAGCTACAGTTCAAGTATGTATACTGAAAAAGCAAGTTTTACACTGAAGAAAAGCTACCTTTGGTAGCTGAGATCCCAAGAAGGGGTCAAGGGTCCCAGTAGGAAAAAAACACGGGCTCTCTGGCAAAGAGCAAGAAGGAGTATGAGACAACTTAGACCTTGGATGATAGGAAGGTGTTTGTACAGAAGGGAACATTTCCTCCACATGTAGCTGTAAAGGGAGTACTCTACACAGCCCTTGTACGCACCCCTGTTAAGTTGTATTAAACAATTTCAAAACATATACAAAGAATCACAGAAGTAATTTGAGATACCGGAAATTACTGAGATTTATGAAAAAGGAACAAGGAAGATGTAAGTCTAAGGTATTTATTGGAGATGAGTGAGTCATTCTGTACATGTGCTGATAATGCAGAAACCATCATAATTCCCAGGGAAGTCATAATGAACATCTTCGTTGGTCAGAAAGAAAAACAAAGGTGTGATATTGTTGTTACATTAGTAGGTTTGGATTGTTTGTTATAGTTGTTTTTACCTGGTAATAAATGCAAGGCTAAACTGTGATATTAGACCATGGTAATAGATGTCAAAGTGAACTTAGTTGAAGTACGATACAAAGCATATTTTGATGCTTTAATTGTTCTGGAGCAGAACTAATGAGTAACTAAAAATAAAAACAAGATAGTATCAGTGGTAAAAGGCATACTTAAGGGTACATGATCTTAAGACCCCGAAAATGTTGGATGTTGTACCACTTTGGGGGGGATGCATTAAGCTAAAGCTATTGGTCAGATCTGATAATCAGTAGCTTTAGAAGACTTGAACTATTTAACACATCAAGAAGACAGCACAGTATTTTTACTTATGTCATTATACTTGATATAAAGTACACTCATTTTACTTGATGGATGAATAAACTGAAACTAGGAATCATGCAAAATAAAAGAGCAGTTAATTGCTGAAACTAACAATAACACCAGCTTTTCAGATCTAGATTCTATCTAGAAGACACACATGCATAAAATGGATGCTATTTTGCTCTGTGTAGGGATAAACAATTGTAATGTTACAGCTTTGCACTACATACTCAATAAGACTCTATATTCAGGACATACTGTTACTATAGATTTGGTTATTAAGGTTTTTATTTCTACTTTATTGCTGTAATGAAAGCAGCCTGGTTCATATTATTGCAAAGGAAAAAGACTGAGCAAAGAAGCCTTGAGAGATGAACAATGTTGAGAGAGAGCCTTAATGAATCAGGATATTGCTTAAAATAACTTTGTATTAAGTGAAATAACATATTAAGGAAAATGTAAATATACATGAATATATGAAGGTAATAATGGTACTACACTACACTAAACCTTGCTTTCCTAAGATAACAATATATAAGCAGTTTAACATTTTTCACAGTAAATAGTCAAGTCTTCATTTTATATTCATGAGTAAAGGTAAATCTAAATTATTCAAGACAACACCTTAAATAAAAAGCTACTTTCATAGAAGAGATAAACATTACAAGTTATGTTCAAGCAGAACGACTGCCTTCAGTGCAAGAGTAGGGAAAGTACTGCAAATTCTTCAAATCCCAAGCAATATAAAAACAAAAGGAAAGTAAAGGAAAATGGCTACTGTTCACTACTGTTTTAACAAGAATTTTTAATACATTGTCATTTATGTTGAGTCATCTTAGATCATTAAGCGCTTAGATGTTAGATGGCTGATATTAGTTAAAATCCTCTAGTCAAAAAATTCTTCTATCATCAATCTATAATGCATTCCTGTTTCTTGAGGGTAAGTTGTTCCATTTTACAAGCTGTTCAGACATGGTACCTACTCACTCCTCTTTGCTAACATCTATTAGACCAGTTGAAGTCAGATTATTTGAAGTCCAGTTCGTACAAGATCGTACTTGTTCCAAAACCTTTTACAGCTGGACAGCCTTTGGCCCCCATGCCAAAACATCCTGGCAGACTGTAGCATCTTCTATATGAGTTTCCCACAGAGCAAAATACGGGCCGTCAAAGCTTTCAGAGCTCCCTGGCAAGTTGCAATAAGAAGGGATGTGGATAAAAGGTAAAAGAACTTTGGTGTCTCAGGAGTGCAAATATATACCAATATTAATTTCTCTGTAGGGAAAGCAGTGTACAGCCCAACCTTTGGAGACCAAATGAAATATAAAGGAACTTCCCAAATCTTGTTTGGTTGACTTTTAAATAACTTTTTAGATAAAATCAACACATATTTTGACACCTGGAAGTGACAGTAACTTTCTTCCTGATCAGGTAAGTTATTCCTGAACAGCTAACTCATTATTGTGGCTATTAGTTTAGGCCACAAAATGAAAGAGAGAAAAACTTTAAAAAGAAGGAAATCACTGAGGCCTAGCCGAGTTATCAGGCTATTTAAGATTCCTAGCATTTCCAGAAAAAAAAACCCTGCCTGGAAAAGATTACGCACATTCTATTCTTTGTGAAGTTTGTTACATGATGTTTTGTAACTCTGCTACTCCAAGACACTTTCTTAGTTCTGCGGCCTTCTTCTCCAACTGTTGAATGTTCCAGTGCCATTGTCTTTTATTTGAATGGACTTTGTTCAGTTGGCAATGCAAACGTTTTAATATAGCATCATATCTCTTATTCTGTACCTAAAAAAAAACAAAAAAAAAAAACAAAAAAAAACAAACTTCAAAATTTCATTCCAGTAAAACTATTTACAGAAGTGAGTTCAGCTCAGCAACGGGTCTGGACAGACACATCCTTTTTGGAGGGTTCCATTTGTTTACGTACACTTGTACTAACTACAGTCTTGGATTGCACACAAACCACTACTACCAGAAATCCCAAAACCTACCAACCAACAGAAACACCACAAACAATACACAGCAAAATTACTACCAAGAAAACCTGTAACCCTGCCTGCTTGTCCTGCCTGCATGAAGTGCCTCGCAAACTGCCATGCCATGCCTCTGTTTGCCGCTCACGCTAGAGGCCCTTCTAATTCAGCAAAGGTGAAGGCCCTCAAGCATTCATCTGACTTATTTCAGATATCTGGTTTAGGACAACTCACGCTAGAGGCCCTTTTAATTCAGCAAAGGTCCTGCATGGCCCTCAAGCATTCATCTGACTTATTTCAGATATCTGGTTTAGGACATGAATCATGCTTCACTTTCCCATTAAGGAAAGAGCACAGCTCTGTCCTACTAAGACCTTAAGTGTGGAGGTCAGTGTGGATATCTGCTCTGTAGATGTTTAATATTTAACTAAGTAAATACCACCCAAGGACAGCATGTCACATTTCTGGCAAAGCTCTGCATGTGGAAGATTTGAGGCTCCAAAATGAGAGGTGAGAAAGAAGAAATTTTTATTCTTTGACAAGCATGTTTGGGCATAAATAAGAATACAAATGAGGTAACCTTGCTGACTGTAGTAGCACCTTTGTAGCTGCACTGCATTTAAAATGGCACATTTTTCTTAGGCAATACTGCGGCAATGCAGGACTGTCAATTCTGCTCTCATTGCTGCTTTATGTGGAGAAGTAAATTTGCATTCTGAAGTGTTAAAAGAATGAAACACTCACTGCAATAAAAATGAAAATAATGGGCATTCCCTTAATGAAATTTGGACTTACTTACCCCAGTTTAAATGGCATATGAGTGGTAGTGTATAATTACTCTTGTGTTTGCTTATTGAAGCTTTATTACACTGTATTTCACATGCACACGATGATGTACAGCTGCATCAGAACCCACAGCACTGTCGGTGACTTCCTGCAAATCTCACTGCCTAAATTTCACAAATAACTAGGAAACTGCCACACTGGTGTTCTATAAATTACTGCCTTATTTTACTGGCAATGGCTTGTTACCTCATGTAACCTCATTGCCTACATGTTACCTCACTCTCAGTATAATTGTCTGCAACATTTTGAGGAATGCTGTCAGATTCACTCATCTGAACGAGTGCTTAGGGCATCTGCATCACTAGGACTACATTGTATGACACTGAAACATCTATGATCAATATTATCTGCTTTTTTTAGAAATGCGCCTCTAGCATCATTATTGGGAACAGTCTGGCACATCTGCTGAGGGAGGGAGCACTAATATGATTACTGGAGACAGGGAGGGTACAACATTGTGCTTTTTATTGGATCTTTTGTACATGGAAGTCAAACACTAGAAAAAAAATTGTCTGGGCACTCAGGGTATCTCCACCACCAGGGTCATTTAAGGACAGGATAGGCAAGCATCTGCCAAGAGTAATACAGTCACACACTGACATTGGCGAAAGAGGGCAGCAGGGGAATAGATAGCCTTTTGGGTTGAAGGGTTTTTTTGTATTACTTTTACATAACAACAAATTTTCTATTATTTGTGGATATGTTGAATTATCCTTATGACTGAAGCCTTGACCCTACACAGATACCCACCCTGATTTATTGCTGACAACCCTGTCCAAGGCTGGGAACAGGATCTGCTTTTCAAGAAATGGGCAATGGGGCTGTTGCTCAGGAAAGAGAGCAAGAGAAGGTCCACAGGCTGCTTTAAGAGTCACAGAATATGCTGAGTTGCAAGGGACCCATCAGGACCATCAAATCCAACTCCTGGCTCTGCATAGGACATTCCCAAGTGTCACGTCATGTGTCTGAGAGCATTGTCCAAATGCTTCCTGAATTGTGAAGGCTTGGTGCTGTGACCACTTCCCTAGGGAGGCTGTTGCAGTGCCCAACCACTCTCTGGGTGAAGAACCTTTTCCTAACGTCCAACCTGAACCTCCTCTGACACAACTTCAGGCCAGTCCCTCGGATACTGTCACTGGTCACCACAGAGCAGAGATCAGTGCCTGCCCCTGCTCTTCTCCTCACAAGCAAGCTCTAACTGCAATGAAGTCTCTGCTCAGTCTCCTCTCCTCCAGGCTGAACAGACCAAATGACCTCAGATGCTCCTCACATGGCTTTCCCTCAAAGCCCATCTTAGCTGCCCTCCTTTGGATGCTCCAAACAATTACATCAGGTGCCAGCAGTCTGTAGCTGAATTCCACCACTGCAGCTCAATAAAACCTCTTCCATGTGGCTAGTATCTCACTTTATTTCTGTGTTGACTTGAGTATTCTTTCCCAAGTTGTGCTGAGGATATAAATGTGTCTGTCTACCCACTGCAGCTCTTATATTAAAAACTGGACTGTTTTCAGGAGAGTTCTTAACAGAAAATAATACCCTGAAAGGCTTTGGATTTGAACCTGCTTTCCTTGAGACAGAAAGAACATATAATCCAAACAAGTCAAGAACAAAAGTGAAGGTTAATCTTCCCTATTTAATTAAATTGATATTGATAACAGAACGTTATTTTTAGGCTACCTAATTTAACTTTGGATTTAGAGAATTTTCTTAAGAGGATGTTGCCTTGGTAATAAAAAATTTTCTCAGATGCTGACTAGCAGATCTATTCTAAAGCAGCTGTGTTTTACTTTTCAGGTTAAAAATTCTCTCTGTTCACTGTCACATAAAAAAAAATTATTCTTTCTTCCTCCTACATTTTACAAAGGGCAATAGACCTAACCTTAAATCAGTTAATCTTTATATTATTAAGCTTTGCTCATTAAATTTTGTGGCCTTTATTTGAACTGACAAGATAAACGGTATGAAACTTCCAAATTAAAAATTATCTAATCATACAGGGTATTTTACTAAGGAACAAAACGAAAAATATAGTTCAACTACTTAAAAGAGAAGGTTTTAACTATTGATCAGAATTTTATCTTGTCAGCTAATTAGGAGCTGCTGTGTTATTCCTAATTTAATGTCAGCTTAAATTAGGGAGATTCATGGGAAGTTCAATTTCCTGGTGTATTTAGTTCTTCCACTGATGAGTTATCAAGTCATGAATAATCAAGTCAGCAGTGAAATGTAAAGTATTTCAGAAGTATTACAGAAATTTTAAAATGTGCATTTGCTTTACTACCATTCAGTGACCTCTTCTTTTTCCAGGAATCATTCCAAAATTTGACATATGAAGTCCTTCTCAAATGACTTCAGAAAAAATGTTCTTCACAATTAAGCTCTGAATTTTAGAAAGACTATCAGTACCCAGAATTTAAGACAGCATCATTACTGCATATACTTGAACAATGTATAGCCAGCAAAGCTGTATAAAGTACTTCAAACTTCATTTGCATTATCTACATTCCATCAGGAGAACTGCAATTAAATTTTATTCCAATGACTCACCTCAATTTCCTTTCTAAGCTTGGCATGCCTTTTTTTCTCTTCTTCCAGCAGATCTCTTCTTTTATTGATGAAATCTTTCAATGTTGTGACTTCACTTTTTAAAAGTGTGATTTCTTCCTGCAGATGTAAGTCAAGATACAGAAATCCACTCCTTGAAAGGTTGCATGGTTCATCTAATATACTTATTAAACTTGTCTCATCTAAACAGTCTCAGTTAATAGAGATGAGATAAAGGTCTATAATAAACAATTTCACAATAAACCTATTAGTATCAATTAAAATTATAATAATATAGGATGAGTAATTATGAAAAAATAGCTATTAAATATTTTACCACATGGTTTTACACCTGGAAGATTATATACTCTTGATCTAAAATATAAGAAGTACAACAATATAGGACTTTGACCTCAATTTGGTGGTCTTCATTTAAAGTGTAATTAACTGCAAAATAGAAGAATATTTAATGTAATATTTTAGATATATTTTTCTTTCTCACAGGAAAATACTATATTAATGAGTCTATTTATCAGTATTGAAAGATCTGTTGTACAAACAAATTTTCATCAATTTACATTAAAAGAGTACCATCAAATTTTCAATAATGCAAGTTACATCAAAGTTGAAATCTGCAATCCCATTTCAACTTCATATTTTGTCCATATATTGGCAAAACTCGATGGTGAAAAATTCCTATGTAGCTGCTATTAGTAAAAAATGCAGTTGGGTCAAGTAAAACCAACAGTGTTAGATTACAATACCAAACACGTTTTTTCTCTCTTCTTATTTCTATGACCATCTCATAAAAACTACCTCCTGCTGGCAAACAGCTCAAATTTATTTTGTTGTCAGCAAAGTTTAAAGAATATTGTGTTCTTACCTGAAACATGTAACAAAATGGCAATCTTCCACAGAATTCTGAAAAGTGTCCATGTAAGTTTATCCAATGATAAAGCTTAATTTACAGTTCTGTAATATTTTCATATTTGAGTTCATTCAAACACACAGTAGAAACATTTTTATAACAATACTGATATTTTTAACTGCACATTGAAGTAAAAATTTTTCCAATGAATGCAGCATTATGAATTACCTATATTCCCTTGCAGTCAGTCCCTTATGAACCATAAACATATTAGCCAAAATAATCATATGAACTATATCAAAATTATTCCACATAAAAGGAAAGAATCAAAAAGGAAATATAGTACCTGCACTTGTTTTATAACAGATCCTTCTGGATTCTGCAGATCACATATTAGCTCCTCTTTCTTTGCCTTTAGTTCTTCCACAAGCACTTTCTTTTCAGCAAGTTCAATCATAATTGGCAATTTACTTTCCATCTCCCAAAAGAGATGTTTATGATCCTTTATTTTTTCCCGATATTCATTATTTCTTGCAAGTATAATCTCAAACTCCTCTTGTATTGTTTCCGCATCACACCTTAATTTTAAATTTTCAGAATACAGGGCTCTGACTTGGGCCTCCAGATTTTCACAGTGATATTTTGTCACTTCTATGGCATCATCTTGCAGATGTATTTCCCTTTCTGTTGTCTTTGTTTCTAACAGAACCGAATTCATTTCTTTTTCGAGTTCCTGGCACTTTGCCTGTAAAATATTTCAGCGTTCATTTAAGAATTTTTTTTGGAGGAAGATATGAAGTGTCTAGTTAAACACTGTAATTTATATTTATTCAACAGCCTTTTTTTTCACTTGTCTAATGTGGTTTAAATGGAAGATAATTAGACTTGTATTTGTTAATATCATAGTCTTAGAGGTACAATGTAAGAATACTATCTTAGTCTTCTCCCCTTAGATTGAGTCTAAAATATTAAATAAGATGCCTTTGAACTCACTTTTAAATACCTCACAGTTGCAAGAGATACCTATATCTATATCTAATGTTTGCTTAGAGCTGGTGAAATCCTAATCAGACTAAAAATAAATTAAGATGCCAAAAATCCCTTGAAAACCTACACATAGAGGGGTGTGTCAGGTAATGGAGCTTAACTAGGCTGTTCAACTGAGGAAAAATCCTGACTTCATCACAGTAGTAGCTGAGAGTTGAATTAATCACAGCTATTTTCAACCCCATAAGAAATATTTATCTAGTCCTAAAAAAGGCCTCTACATGATCTCACTGATGAGAAGTGAACAAAATTAGGAAGTAGTACTTCAAACCATCATAAGAAATCACAGAATCATCACAGTTGGAAAGGACCTGTCATTACCTAGGGCTTTAAAGTTCTCTGGGTCTGTTTTAAAACAGATAGATGTTTTTAAATTGTAAGATCACAAATTATTGTTGCAGCATCACCAGACTATATTTTGGGATACAGGACAAAGCTTCTTGTAAAGTGTGGCCAGTCCACTGACATTCCTAAAAATACAAGATTTCACTGCTACTTCAGAAATGTTATTTTTGTGAAAAATTTCAAAAATCAATTATTTCAGTTGTAGAGCTATGCACAGATACTATAATTGGAATGCTACTATTTCCATTTGTGTTCTTCCATCCTCAAAAATGTCCACTGGAATTGTCTTTTCTCAGACTTAAAAGTAAGTTTCTCAACAGAAACTTGATCTTGAAGGTTAAACAATAATTGAAAGCTTAATAAAAGACAAAAGAAATGATCACACAGTCTTCACAAAAACTACACATATCCAGTGTTCTACAAAATAGTACTGAATAACACTAGTATTTAATGACTACTTATGATACTCACTTCAAACATAAGGGGGAAGAAAACTATTTTGTGTCAAAAAAGATGCTAAGAAAAAAATTATACAGAGTGGTGAAAATCTGGAAAAAAAAATTTTGCATAATCCTTCTCCCATAATTTCTTAGGAAATTACAATTAAAAAAATCAAAAAGTTCCAACTTTGCATTTAGTTGTTGTGGGTTCTGTGGTGAAAATCTGAAAAAAAATTTGTATAATCCTTCTCCCATAATTTCTTAGGAAATTACAATTTAAAAAAAAAATCAAAAAGTTCCAACTTTGCATTTAGTTGTTGTGGGTTCACTTTGTGGGTTAAGCCCAGTATTTTTGTTTCGCTTTTTCCAAGTGACAAACCAGCATTTCACCTGCTGTAATGAAGACTTAGCTGTGTTGTGGCCTTACAAACAATACACACCCACAGTTTTGGCTGAGCCTAAATGCCACACACAGGAACAGAATAGCCGTCTAACATTTGAATGCACTCGCACATTAAGTACCACTAGCTTCTCTTGTTCAAGGAAATACTTTTTCATCGATTGAAAAATAATTTATTTAACTACTCTAAACAAGGTTTATTACCTGCAATTGGAAAAGAACTGCTTTGCTTTTTTCTATGTCTGACGCCTGTGCCTGCTGCTGCTCTGCAACTCGTTTTACAACTTCAGCTAGCGATGGGGAATGTTGCTTGGCCATTTCAGGCAGAAGTGAAGAACTGGAGGGATAGAAAAAGAAGTGAATTGTTTCATCTTCTTTCTATTCAGTTCTTGTAGAGAAAACAATATTGAGGGCTGACCCGTGGGATCGCAGGTCGATACATTAATTTCATTTGGTTCATTTTTAATTAGCAAGAACATGTTACTCAAAGCTAATCACTGAGAATTAGCACACTTTCTTGCAGAATCTCGTAAAATAAACCTGCTATGTGATACTGCGATGTTCTTCCGGCTTCTCTGCAGAGCAGATCGCCAGTTTGTGAGCACAGCTGTACCTTTTTAAAGCACCCTACGAGCATATCAAATGCTCGAGGCCGGGCTCTGGCGTTCCGGCCGAGTACCGGCGCCGCTGCGGCCGCCACACGGCACCTGCAGCGCTCTGCGCGCCGCCGCCCCTCAGGCCGCCGGTCCCCGCCACCGCCCGGGGCCTGCGGCAGCCCAGGGGCACGGGGAGCCGGGAGAGGGGTTGATCCCGCCAGGAGCGGGACCGAGCCCTGCGGGAGTCGGAGGGAACGCGGCGGGAGGGATCCCTAAGGAAACGCGTGGCGCTCTCACCAGCCGTGGCGGTGGCGCCGCGCGGCTCGGCGGTGCCTGAGGCCGTCCCGCTCCGCGCCCTCTGCTCCCAAAGCTCCCCCAGTTTCCCCGTTCAGTGTATTACACTGTACTTGCTGCCATCACTTCTTCTGCTGACAACATCAGGTTTTCCCGAGCACCACTGGGTTACGAAGGACAAGAGATGTGGCCCAGTTTCTTCTGGCCTATGCCGTGCCCTGCTCAGTAGCCACGGACGTGCCTCTGACCCGCTTGTGCTCCTCTAGGGAATTTTAACCCAAAATCGCACTATTTTTATAATTCGATTTTAAAATTTACCTATTTTGTATTTTTATATTTTTATAACATATTTAACTTAAAATTACAAATAATGTGTTATGTTAAGCAACTTAATTATATATAGTATATATAATATTAAGCAACTTACATATATAAATAAATATTAAAAATACTTACATATATATTTGTAACAATTATTTTATAAACTAATAGCTCGTCTCTGCATATGACCTATTTATTTAATCCAGTTTCTGAAGTGCCGTAAGCTAAATATAATATTTCATTCAGGAGATGTCAATTTGTCATTTTTCAATATTGTTTTGTACCCTGAATATTTTCTGACCTTTTCCTTCTCAGCATTCTGCACCAAAAATAACACCAGTAATTAGTTTTACTTCCTTAGTCTGGCTGAAGGAAAGAAATTGATTGCATTGGTTTCTCTCCACCAAGCAGTTCCCCTGTTAATTTTTAATGACATAGCTCAGGCACATTTGGCAGTGCGGTGGAAAGCCTCAGAGATGACCGATTTTTGCAAACTTCAGGAAAAGAGATGTCTGGGTAAGGAAGGACAAGACTGCCTCATCAATCCCCTTCAGGAGGGGGAACCAGGATTCAGCTCTCATCCCTCGGTCCAGCACATGCTGAACAGAATAGCAGGAGGGGAAATAGCAGAGCACTCACAACGTGTGTTTTGGACCTGGCAGAAATGTAGGTTTACTGTGGTTGCAGGGGAAGGAGGAACAGGTGACAGCATTTTATGGGAAATCAGACTTTATTAATTCCTCTGTCCGTTAAAAATTACTGTCCTTTTTTTCTTGCCCCTTTCTTCCATTGTCATATACTTCACAGTCATGACTATGATTTTAACACAGCTGAGGAAATGTATTTATTATCTTTTGATTCTTGCGCAAAGCGTGATATCAATCCCTCATTTCCTTGCTTGCCTTTTAACCATAGCATTGTCCTGTCAAAGGACTAAGACTTCTTCACTTAGCTGTGTGAAATTGCCATCCTCATTTGGGACCTGTGGCCCCAAAAGCTGACATTGTGTAACCTCTCTGTCTAGGTCCAGAATACACTTTTTCGTGGCTGGCTGCCAAATTCTTCAGTGGAACACGCAGCTACAGCTCAGAAAAGGAAACTTCTTCTCTCTGCACAAGTTTTCCTTTAACTTTTGTGGGGTTGTCCTGTTTGGCTGCACCGTGCGGTTGGGAGTTGGTTTGCGGTTGTGCAAAGCCGGCGCAAAGCCGGTGCAGTGTGATCACAGCAGGGTTAATGCTGCTTCCGCGTTCAGCGCTCCCCAGGCACTTGTTAATCGTGTTGGTGCCTTGCAGTACAGTTTGTTCTTTCCGGTGTAACCAGCAGCAAAGCAGGGTCCCATCAAAAAGAAGAAATACAGGTTCCTTTACATAGCATAGGAATTTCCAGCTTGTGCAAATCAGCTCCGAGATTGAAAGAAGTGAGATATATAAAGCTGGAAATGTCTGTGTATTTTATCAGATGGTACCTTTCAGAATGCAGTAGGATTGTCCAGCTGTAAGTAAACTCCCGTGTTTATGAAAACTGTGTGTGCCTCAGTATTTTCATTGTATGTGGTGATTTCTGTTTCTTTAACCTTGCCTTAAAAAAATAGGTTATAAAAGAAGAAAAATGTTTTATTTTAATCCAGTTTAAAAGGCTTAAATGTATTTCTTTTTCCCCTCTAGTTTTTGGATTTTCTTTTTTATGTTTGCTCTTGTTGAAATTTTACACGTGTGCTGTTATCTTTGTTCATTTGGGCTGCTTCAATGACCTGTTTTCTTTTTCCAGGCATCTCTCTCTGGCAGACGTTAAATATCTCCTGCCATTTTAATTTACAAAAAATTATGTCTGTTCTCTCAGTTTCTCTACTAATATAAGATGACCAGCAGGATTCAAAGATGCAGGAAATTGTCAGCAATCTTTTCTTGGCCAACAGTGCACTTTTAGAATTAGATTTCTGGCGTTCTTGAAAATTGCTTATTTGCATCTCTTTTCCACCCTGGGCTGTCTCTTCTCTGCAGCCTGGTTTTATTTCCTTCATTGTTCTTTTTCTATATTAGTTTTGCTTTTCTACTTTTTTCTCTTGTTACCTTCCTCACGTCACATATTGTTACCATTTTCTTTGACCTACTTTTTTTGGGTGTCTGTGCAAGAAATTCTCATAACCTCCAAATGTTTGTCCTGTCAGTTTCAGGAAGTGAGAAAATAGCTAATGGGTAGCCTTGGTTTCAAGTTTGTGCAAGTGTTTGTCTTGAATTGTGTACCAAAGCAATCAACTCCTTAATAAATGTATTTATTTCTTTGGATGTTGCTTCAATGGAACACTGGTACTGTAAAGCATGTTAATTAAAACCTGAATAACCATAAATACATGTTCCATAAGCTAAAACATTGCTGTGCATGTCTTTTGAGAAGGCTTTTTTTTTTTTTTTGGAGTGACTTAGAAACAAATCAGTTTTGCTGTGATTGTAAGCAAATTTATTTTGACACCACTGTCCTCACTAAGACTCTGTGATGCAAAGCTGGAAGGATATGAGGATGAATCAGCCCCATTGTTCCTATGTGTACATCCCAATAATTGCCCCTGTGGAGTCTTTGCAGTGCATACACAACTTAATAACAATCTATGCAATTACCTCTCCCTTATCAAACACTTTCCTTCCACCCTTCTTTGGTGGTATTTTTCTGGGCAAGTAGAAGAACAGCAATGAGGTCTATTTGCCTTCCACTACTGACATATCTGAAGTGGAGCAATAATCTCGTTTTGCTCTACACCCCTCTGTTGTGATGTCTTTCCTGGGACTATTCACTATACTTTGGTTGGAATTGTGTCACACTCAGACAGGCCTCCCACAGAGAGTGTCAGGGCAGGGAAGGGTATACTCTGATTTCCCAAGTCATGGTCTTTGGCATGAGTCTGTTTCAGCACTGTTTTCTTAGCAAGCCCTTTACTCTAAAATCCATTATCAGCTGTGTGTAAATAACACTCTGAGCAAAATCAGGAGTCATAAATTCCTTGGCAGTTACTTTTATTTGCTATCACATTTTGATATTTTCAGCTCACCTGTTTTGATAGTCGCCAATTAATCTTTGTAAGTGTTCAATTTGCAGAAAGGAAAACATAATTTTCAGTCAGGATTATTTTTCTTCCAGTCTGGAGAAAAGAACAATGAAGAAAATACAGAATGTTTTCTGTAAAACATTCTCTAAATAAGCCGTCTTTTAAAACCACAAAGGTTTTTGACCTCTCATTTCAGTGGAGAAACTCTGGGAGTCCACAGACAAACATAAAATGCCAAGGAGTACATCACATTTACCATAATGATAGGCCTCGAGTACACATGGAAGTAGTATTTTTGCAGGATAATGAAGTGATGTGAAGCCAGAACATTCATGTGGTTACAGGAGAATGAGGTCTTGGGGCAGGAAAATTGTGCCAGACATTATTTAGTGAATTTTCCTACAAGTAAATTATATTTGTGCACAATTTGTTGCTGTGCAAAAAAAAAAAAAAAAAAAAAAAAAAAATTTTAAAGAATACTCTGAATGATTATGGGGTCTTACAACTGTTGGTAAAGGTGCATATATTTCTCCTAGATCAAGCACAGTGCTTAGTCATGAAATCTATGTAGGTATCTTCGAGGCTCCCAAAGCAGAGGGATCTAGCCTTTTGTTCCAGACCTCCGGATGCCTGCACTGGAAATGGAAAGATTATCAGAGAGAGAAAAAAGAAAGTAAGACACTTTTGAGAGAATATATAAAATAGCCCCTCATAGCAACAGAGAGAGGAAAAGATGGATTGACAAGTTTCCACAGGTAGACCTAGCTGGGCTTGGATCAACAAAGTTCAGAAAAGGGAAAAAACTAACCATGAAAACTGGAATTACACCACGGACTACAAAACAAAATGTGAATGGTAGATGACATTGGATAAGCTTAACACATCTTGATTTCAGAGTGGAGTGCAGCTAACAGAGTGAAAAAGCGGAGGTAAGAAGTTGTGCACCATATTCTCTTGCTTTAATTTAGTTCTAAGTACTTCTTCCATTACTAGGTAAAGTTTCAGTAACCACTACTGGGGTCTTGTGTGTGCTGAACAGAAGAACTACCCTGGTCATGTGCTCCTTCACACAAAAGTCAGAAATTAGCAAGTCAATACTTTTGGAAATGCAGAATGGAGATGTAAGAAAGGTCTTGTGAAGGCCCTTGGGAAAAAATGTCATTGCCCTCACAGTTCAGCACCCTACTGCCAGGAGGGCTAGCAGACATGAGCTCCACCTCAGACATAAGTATGTTAAACTCCTCCAAAGAAATTGGTACGGAAACTCCTCCAGTCCCATGAAGCTAAAGGACTTCTATATTTGTTTGCATCATGGAGGCTGGAGAACAGCCCATGAATCATGTCAAGAAGATCCATTAGGCTAATGAGGGTTAATAGATTCAATAAATCTAATCTTATGTACCAACCTTTCATCATCCCTGACCTGGGAAAGACCTGAAGTAGGTGGGGTGATAGGGAAATACCTAAATGCTTAAATAAATACATAATTATTTCCATTTCCGCTAGTTTTCTTTTGTTGGAATTTCTTTTGATGCAGCTGGGAAAGCCTAAGTCAGTAATTAACTGCTACATACCTTCTTTACACAGTATCACTGAACTAAATGCCGTAACATGATTCTGTGTTCGGACTAACAGTGCTGTTCTTTACTTTTTGTTTGTTTTTCATGTTTTGTTACTACTTGGCAGCTGGAGAAACCTTTAAATATCCTGGAATATGGTGGAAGCAGTACTGATAGATCTGTTCAGCCTCGCACCTGACTTGCAGAACAACACTCAAGGATTACTACACAACACTCTGGAAGCTATTGAGAAATGCTCTTCCATCCATGCTCCATTTGTTTATGTCATGTGTTGCCAGAGGCAGGGGAGTGAAAGGAAAGGTGAACAAGAGTTCTTGCTTCCAGCTCTGAGAGGTTTTCGGAGTCTGAAGAGAAGACTGGAGGTGGTATGTGCTCAGACTACAGCTGCTGCTTTGTACACCGTCAAACAGAGACTGGATGAAAAAGACCTGAGCATCATTAAAGTTATTCTCCCTACCTTAAGAAAAGACTTAATGAAAATATATATAGACCATCTCTTTACAGCAGTCTATCAGTTTGAATTCGAGGATTTACAGGTGGTACCTGACAGTGAAAGCCTGCAGATATCAGAACATCAGCATGAAGGGCACACGCTTCCTTCACAGGACAGGGAACTCATCCAAAGTGAGATTCAGATGTACTTGGAAAGCCTGCCAAGCTTGAAAGGGGAGCTCACCATCCTCAGATCTTCCCTGATCCCAGGTAGAGTTCCAGCTAACAGTTTTTACAGAGACTTACCAAGCATACTTCTTCCAGGGAGTTGCAAAATGAGTAAGATTTGGAAATGCCTTCAGGCATCAAATAACTCTATATGATGTTGTAATAGTGTATAATGTGTATAAAAGGAAGAAGTGTCAATAAAAATACAGCAAAAGTCTGGCAAGAGTGTTCCAGGCCCGAGCATGATCTGAGAAAAGACAGTCCTGGGTTTAGGGAGGGCAGACCATAAAATCTCCTTCTATCCGTGTGGGAATTCCACACTTCGAGTGTTGCCATCATGATTTGGAAAGGCAGGATAAGAGTTTCTGCTGGTCTGCAGCTCCAGACACACCTGATGTCTTAGTGTCCCTGCTATGACATGACTGTGAGCAAGAAGGAAATTAGGAATCCTTAAATTTAAATACCACAGCTAAATCGAAGGTAAAGCAATACTCTTACTTGATTGGCTGATTCCAGGTCACTTCAGTATAAACCCATGTGATAGCTAGTTTGATCTTGTTTTGAAAGGAATTGTCTGTTGTGTTTTCTTGCCTTGCCAGATGATATTTTTTTACATGGGTTCACCACAAGGACAGGTGGGATCTCCTACATACCATCTCTAAGCTCCTGCAATCTCTTCAGCAGCTCCAAGCGGAGGGACCCACAAGTTGTTGTTAAAGAAAATCTCCGCCGACTAGCTAACGCTGCAGGATTTAACCCAGAGGCTTTTCACAGAGTCAAGGTATCTTATAAAACAATGGATTCAAGTAAATGGCTCAGATATTCCTTCATGTATCACTGGCTAAATTGTAGGCATTATTCTTATCTTTGTCAGCAAGAACCTGTGATAAGCAGGACAACTAAAACATTTATGCTGGCAGTTTATCTGGGGGAGTAGCCATCCAAACTATCAGCCATTTGTCACAATATGGAGAAGCAGCACTGATTCTTCCAAGTCTGTTCTAATATTTAACTTACCACAAAGTAGAATAATCAAATAAATGATCAGAGCACTTTCTCCTAAAACAAAAAATACACTATTGTTTCTATAGTGGGTTTCTGGTGATACATCTTCACAGCATTTGAACAAGGGAGACCTGATTTCCATGCGTAATCAGTTAGTGCATAAGAGTGTTTCATGTCAAAGAAAAACCTTGTATTAGTCAGATCTGGGTTGTTTTGCAGCCATATCACTGTCCACACTCTGTTTTTGTTTTGACAGGTAGATCACGCTAATGCTGTGTGTATTATGGGAAAGACAGAGCCTGACAACTATGATGGAATAGTTACGAATCAGAAGGGTGTCACGCTGGCAGCTCCAGGTGCTGACTGCATACCCGTGCTCTTTGCTGATCCTGTCAGAAGAGCCTGTGGTGCTGCTCATTCTGGTAGGAATTGCACTCCCTGTGCAATGCAGAGATTTCCTGGGACTCAAAATGGGATATAAGAACCCAAAGCTGGGCTTACTTCTATCTGTTCCAAGTAATACCCAATTGCAAACTTGGCTTCTGTCTATTCTAAAAAATATCTCTAGCTTGAGCCTGGTTTTTGAGGGTTTTTTTCCCCTTAAAAACAACATTAAAACACTTTGACCATATTACAAAACTATATTTCTGACATATTTTAGTTGTATTCCCACTTAAATGTTTCAAGCACAGAGGCCTTGTGAGGTATGCTCTAATTGCCCAAACCAGGACACTTGGGAAAAAGAACTCTGGCATTCTAAACACTTCTCTCTAGTTTCCATTTCCACAAAATTATATTTTTATATATAATTATATAATTATATATAAATATATAATTATATTTATTATATAATTATATTTGAAAACTGCTTGCTGTTAATGTGAAATTTGGGGGGGGGGGAAGGAGGAGGCCTTCTAATCTAATTTAATATTAGATACAATTATTTAATTTTAGGTGTAAATGCATCTCCTAATTTATACCTTTAATAAGTGCATTTATTTTTAGCTTTTAGAAAATGAAAAAGAAAATGTATACCAATTTTTTTTCAACCTCTCATGTCTGACAGGATGGAAGGGCACATTGTTAGGAGTGTCTATGGCCACAGTGAATGCTATGGTTTCTGAATATGGCTGTAACGTGAAAGATATTCTTGTGGTGCTGGGCCCATCTGTGGGACCTTGCTGCTATAAACTTCCTCATGAATCAGCAAAAGAATTTCACAGAATTGATCCAAATTGTGTGAGACTATTTGACTCTGCAAGTCCTTATATTGATATCAGAAGAGCAACAAGGTAAGCCTCCTGAGGGAACAAAAGATTAATTCCACATTCATTATAAAAAATTGCTTTGATACTGTATTATTCAGCACTAATATGGTGAGAGTTCTCAACAAAGTACTCTCTAGCTCTTTCCAGATCAAGAAAGAATACTTTTGAATGAATGGTATTTGCTCACTTTTGCTGGATTTCAGCAATTATTTTATTGTTATACTGTTACATATTGTTAGTCTATGGATTATAAACAAAAGTTCAAATTTAATGTGATTTTACAGGTTGAAGGAAAGTAATTATTTTAGTCTCATACTGAAAGAAAGAAACAAAAAAAGCAAATGAAAGCCCCAATCACAATAGTGGCACAGTGTGTTCAGTTGGTACTCGAGGTTCTGCCTTAATGATAGTGCCTTATGGAATGTGAGAATGTAAAAACAGTAATATTTTCTGTTTCTCTTTTTTTTTTCAGGATTCTTCTTGAGAGAGGTGGGATTCTTCCCGAGAACATCCAAGATGATTCTATCACAGACCAGAACCAAAACATCACTTTCTGTACTGCATGCCACCCTGATAAATTTTACTCTCACTTTCGTGATGGCACTAACTTTGGGACACAGATTGGCTTCATATCAATCAAAGACTGAAACAGTATCTCTTACTCTAGAACAGCATTCAGATAATAAGTCTGCTGCATCGTCTGGCATCCTGCTCTCCTCCTTTCTTTTTTTTCCTCCTTTCTTTCACAGATTTGTAGTAGGGAATCCTTGGGATTCTCCTGCTTGTTCCTTCCCTTGCCCTTCTGAGGCAAGAATAAGTACCTGTGGTATGGGGACAACAGTTCTTGTATGAGACAGGGTGCAAAGGAAACAAGGACAAACCACACCAGTGGAAAAATCCTTCTACAAGATCCAGATACAAGCTTGAAGTTTATGGATCCTCCTTGACCAAATATTTTCCAGAAACCTCACTATCTTAAGTTGGGGGAAGCCCAAAAAACACCAGTCTTCATTAGCTTCTGGTTGAGACTGCTGAATGACACTGAGTATGACATTGCTAATACAGGAAGGGAAACCAGTATTGCATGTTACCTGTTTGAGACACTCAAGTTTGATAGTTTCAGCTGAAGCCTTACAAAATTTTGTGCATGGGATTAATTTTTTTCTTTGGATTAGTTTAAAGAACTCCAAAATAATTACAGGAATTTTCCTATGGAAAATAACTTGAAGGTAAGAAGCAAGCAGGCTCCTTTGGGGCAGATATTGAAAATATATGAACTCTCACCATTCTGTAATTTTTGGCTGTAGGAAGTGTAGGACTAAACCCCTTAATTTATGATGTGTATGTTCACATCTCTTAGGATTTTTTTTTTTAAATAGTGGTGCTTTGATAATGTCATTGACACACTCTCAACAATGCTGTGTTATCCAATAAATATCTAAAAAGTTCCATGAATTTATCCTGAGTTAATTTTACAGACCAATAGTTGGTCTGTAAACTTACGTGTCTTACTAAGCAAATTCTAAGTGTGCAGTGTTTTCTTTTGGCCAATCAAAATAATGCCTCTAGATTTTACAATAGACATGACGTTTTCTGACACGCAGACAGTGAGAGATTGCTAACAGTAAAGCTGTGCTGACTGCGGCTTGCAGAGCTGCCAAGCACAAGCCTTGGGCCAGCGGTGCCTGACGTACTTTCTATTTTGGGTTCTGCGAGCTTTTCCCGGTCTGACTGCTCTGCCCGCTAGAGGTCAGTGCTGGCTTGCGCTGCTCTTCCATCCTGGAGGCGGGGATGGATGGATGGATGGATGGATGGATGATGGATGGATGGATGATGGATGGATGGGGGTCCAAACCATGAGGTTTGCAAAGCACTGCACAGCCCACGCTGCTACTTTTGCCTCTACAATCACCTCACAAGTTATTCTAATATTTGTGCTTGAGGAATAATCTGTTTACATTTCAATTCGGAGCTGACTGAATTAGACCTTTCTTTGTTTTCTGGAAGAACATACATTTTTTAAAAAACTTCCTTTTACCTGTGAATGGTATTTCTCAGAGAAGAGTCTGGCTCTGAGTATGTTCTCTGACTGTAACCATCTATGAAAACAATACATTTCTGCCAACTATCTTACTTCTTCATAAATATTATTCTTCTGCTGCTGTAGCCCTGCAGTCGTTGACAATCTTCAGTAACCTTTTTAAAACTCCTCCATTACTTTCACCATTCAGCTGGCTTCAAACCAGAGTCTCAGGATCCAACAGGGGCAGCGCTCACACTACTCAGTTTAGAGTTGCCAAGCACATTGCTGCATACCAGCTAATGGTGTGTATGGTATGTATTACGTGTATTATTGACTTGTTCTAAATATAGGATAGTATAATTATATGGAGACTGACAGGCTTATCTTGCTACCCTAGTTAAAAATACCAACACAACAGCCTACCTTAACCTTTCAGTTCTGTCCCTTTGCCCTGGTTTCTGTTCCACTTTATGGATACTGACTGACGTAGCAGTGAGGCACATGTGTAAGGTCCCTTCTTGAAGCTATAGGGGAAGTGGCACTACATGGCTTTCAGTCCCTGCATCTGAAGCTCAGCCAAAGCTGAGTGCCCTTCACCTAACCCTTTTCCCTTGTGTATCAAGGGTATGCCATCAAAAATAGCTGAGTTACTTGGTTCTGCAAGGTACTTGACAGCTGAAACATCATAGGGGCCCATGTGCCTGCTGTTATCCCATCTCATCTCAAAGATGGCTTTAAACTAATTCATTTATTCTTCCAGTAAGTACAAAAACCTTGAAGTCATGCTACTTACCACCGTTCAAATGCTCAACAGTGTATTAGGTCACATTAACATGATACTGAGAGTAAGCCCTGTCTTGTTCTTACCTGCTCAAGGATTGCAGTAGAGATTTTATGTTTGGAAAAATGCCATTTACAGGTCATGGTAAAGCTGTGCAAGCTGGAGACTATCAGAATGAGCAGGAATACCAAAGGCTTCACCTTTTGGAAACAAATCTTCACCACAATTGTTCTTTTTTTTTTTTTTTTTTTTTTTTTTTTTTTTTATATAATTTGCCTAAATTAAAAACTTTTTGCCTAGACTGTAAACCTTTCAAGACAGGAAACATTCTTTTGCACATGGATGACAGAGGTGGAAAACTCCACAACCGATAAGAAAATATTGAAAGGTTCAGTCTCAAATCAGACTAGGCTCTGAATCATTACTTCTTTCAAAAGTCCTTGCTACAAAAGCATTGTAATCCTGGTATTAAAAAAAATAGTTTGGAGGAAAGGCATGACAAGAAGGAGACTAAGCTGTTTCACTTCTGTTTATTTACTTTTCATTCTTGCTGCTCACTGAAGGAGGCAAGCACAACACTCCTGATTCACCACCTCTAGAGAAGCTCTTAAAATGCTTCATAAATTGTTCAGCTGTCCCTAACTAATTATCAGATCCCATTTATTAACCTAATATCCATTGAATTTATAAGCTGCATTTGCCCTATTATTGCTATTAAATGACATTATTAATTATGATAATGGTGTGCCCTGAGGAGAGCACATGACATGATCACACTGAATATTGTTTTTGCTAGTTGTTACTGTGCAATTAACATTTGTTACTATTGTAGATTCTCTATATGGGCCTCTTTATTTACATTATATACTTGAATGAAGTGTACTGAAACATGTCTGAGAGAGGCTTTATTCACTATTCCAGTAGAAGAGGGCAGCTCTAGCAAAGCTGTCTGCCTGGGGAAGCAGTGTGCAACTTCAGAGAAATAGATCAAAGCCTGAGATAATTAGTGAAATGTTTATCCAAACCATGTCATTTATTGCCATAGGCATAGCAAAGGTGAAAACTATTAAGGAAATTAAATGAAAAATGTTTTTAATGCATTTGTAGAGGTCAGTTCTATCAGTGACTGCTGGTCTCTCTCTGCTGACAATCTGAGGAGACAGGATGGGGGCAAGGCAGTTTTGCATTTGACAGTTACCTTTGTGATTGGCTACAAATTCAGAAGCCATGGACCTGGATGTTCAGCAAAATATATGGGCACATCTTGACTCACAGAAAGTATGTCATCCCTCCCAAATTACATGCATTCAATTACAGGAAAGCATCTCCTTTCCTCAGCAGTATCATGGTCTTGCAAAGTGGTAGTCTTTGCTTGTGTTGTTTTCCTCATGCTTATCTCCTATGCATTGCTGCATTTCTGTCCAGCACCTCTCAAAATCACCCTGTGAGGACTGTGAATCTGGTCACAGGGGGATGGAAGACACAGATGCTATTCTGCTCAGAGCAGCACCAGCACTGCTTTCTTTTGTACGCTTGTGCTTTTTTTTCTTTTAGCAGTAGTGTGAAACTTCTTGCTCTCAGCACTGGGTCTTTATCACTATCCTCCAAACCATTCCCGTTTTACAGATTTCTAAAAGAGCTACCACTTTTCAGCTTGCATGGCAAAGAAGCCAATATTCCTAGATTCCTTCACTGCTGTCCTCATTTCCACTCCATGTTCAATTTGCTGCTGGGCAATGCAAAGAGGGAGATGAGCTGCATTCATTTGTGCGGAGGCCCAGAGGGGCTGTGTGTGCGCACTCGCCTCGATGTCATGTGTGTGAAGCTTTTGTTCTCTGAACTCCAGCCTCTTGTGCAACAATATTAACAGGACAGTGCACTGACAGGAGTAGTAAATCCTATATGTGACAGAGGAAATAGTGTATTGACCTGCTGAGGGATTTACATACCTCCAAAGGCTGACAACAAGCTCTGCCTGTGAGGCTCACTTGTTCTACTTTCCATTTCCAGCAGATATTATCCAGTGCTTACAGATGAATGACTTGGATAGACATGTATGTGGGTTTTAAAACTGTCCTGGTTGAGTATATTCTTTTATCCGAGATGCTACTAATCATTATCCAGTGTAACACCTTTTTATAAGACACAGAGATTTTGCTGTTGTGCTTGCTTAAAATACACAGTGCCTCTGGCTGTGCTGCTAAAAAGCATGATTATGTATTTCCCAAAGGCATGCACAGAAATAGGAAGCTAGCTTTTTTAAGTGATCCCTCTGATCTTTCATTAGTAAGTGTTTAATTTACAGTAGCATCTCGCATTACAAATAGTTGGCTGCCTTCGTCTGCAAGCTCTCAGGACTGAGAGGAGACCCACAGAAAGATTTTGGGAGCATGGTCTCCAAAGGACAGAAGGACTGAATTCTCTCTCTTATCCTTCTACGAATGCAGCATCATGTCTCCAGGGCAACCTGAATTCTGACAGGCATGGGAGCAAGGACATGGCATGGATTTCTATTTGATTCCTGCAACTGAAAGGAGATCTGAGACAAAAAAAATCAATATGTGACTAGACTAAGAGAGTTCTTTTCACAATTAATTTTATCTAAGGGTTAATTTTCTATCTTCTTGTGCAAATGTAATTCAGATCTACTAACTACTGTGTTTGATCTTTCCCCTTCTACATGTATCAGAGGCCTAAACATCTGAAATAAATAGGTTGCAGCATAAAAATGAGGGGTGAGCCTACCAAAAAACTGAACACACATTTTATAAGGGAGTCTGAAAACAATGTTTCTATTTCAAGATGTATAATTTTTTGCAATATTTTTAAGCAGTGAATCATAGTTCTGGTTAGATGTTTCAATTGTAAGTGATTGTTCCAACGACAGCTGTATGAAATAAATACCTTGGTATTATTACCTTAGAGGCACTGAGCTCTATCCTATAGCAATATTGAAGCATATGTTGCAGCTAAAGGAAATAATTTCTATTCATCTTTGGTTATCTTTCTTACAAATATGTGAGCTTGATTTTCTTGCACAAGAATGAATCACAAAAAAATTCAGCTGTAAAAACAAAATTGTGACAGGTGACTCAAACACTTTCAATCAGTTTTAATATGTGCTTTTATTAAATGCTTCATAAAACTATCATTAAAGAAAACTGGGTCGTGCAGATGATTTTATTTTGACTCTCTGCTTTCTTCTTTATACCATCCCCATAAAAAGTTGCAGGACATGTAAGGTGAGTCAATCAAGAAACTCCTTAGAGAGGCTCCTTTAGATTTCTGGATGTTTATTGCTGTATTTGATACTTAGATATTCCTCAGTTCCCTCAATCACCCTGCAGCTTGGATCCATGTGTTCCCTCAGCACTGACACATCCTGGCTCATGTAACTCCATGCTAGCCATGGCAGAAGCACAGATGCAGAGTTGATACTGATGTTTGTGTTGTAGCTTTTGTTTAAACTATATGTTGCTGACGTAAATGACATTGGGACAAAAATATGGTGCCATGATGACAAGATATTTTGAGAAAAATCTCCTGAGCAATGCTGCATTCACATAATGTTTTAGGGGCTAGGTTAGTAGAAATTTTTTGCTTTTAATGAGACTGGGAAAGTTAAGTATAATTCTACACTCCTTGTCCAGTAGATGTGTTCATCAGAGTGACATAGTTTGGGTTTTAGAGTCTTGTCCTGTGTACAATTATACTTCTCTAATTTCCTTTAATAATGGCTTCTTAAGAAGGGACTGACTGTGTGTATATTGGCTAGGAAGTGCAAGTTTCAGCTGACCCCTCTTCATTAGTTTACATTACTATTTAACATAAAAGTCTGTTAGAAAATACAGGCACCACAAAATGGGAAAGTTGGACTGCTGAAACTAAAATGTTCTTTTAGAAGAAAGGGTAAAGATTTAGACAAAGCTAGTTTCAACATCTTCAGGATGACTGATTTCAATACAACTT